TTGTTTTATATTTTTTTCCATAATCCTTCATGAAATAAAAACACCATAGCCCATTCTAGTTTGGGAACATTTCCATTTCTCTTTTATATTTCGCAGAATAAAACAACACACCACTTCTTAGGGATGTGTTAATTTGTGGAGTTCTACTGGTTTGCATATGTCTGGAAGAACTCTCTTAGAACGTAATCTCATTTATTGATGGTCAGGAGGTAGTGAGTGCAAAGAGCGCTAGCCTGAAATAGAAGATGTTTGGCTTCCAGACCCCGCTTTGTCCCACACAAGGGCTGTGTGATGCTGTATTACTCTCTCGGTCTAAATTTCTTCATCTGTAAATTACAGGAGCAAAAGAGCATCTCGCAATCTCAAAAATCTAAATAGGAAACCATACATTTACTCAAGATTTCAAAACGCTTTACACTTTGAAAGCACTATTTGAAGTAATGTTATTATTTCCATGGTAATGCTGTTGAAAAACTTTGTAAAAGTGAGATTAAATAACAAAGCCAAAATGAACGACTGAATTGCGGAAGCTACCTAATTCTGATTTTAAATTCGGTTCCTATTCATCAGCTCCTGCTAGCTTTTCACCAGACAGTAAAAGTAACACTTGACATTCTCTGAAGTGTGAGAGACTTCATGAAATTCAGTTTACTAGTGAAACATTTTATATTTGAGTGCCTGGAATCACTAAACTTCGCTGATAACATTCTGCTAATCAACCTTTAGGAACTTGAAAACAGCACAATAAAGAAAACAAAGAAGCATACACAAATATTCAGTCATCTAATCTGAAGCATCTGTTACTATTGATGAAAAGATGAGTCACATCTTCTGCTTCCCATGGGTAATTTCAGTTCCAGGTGGGCAGATACTTAGTTAAGCAGTACTGTGTTTAATGCAGAGAACAAAGATGGTCCAGCACCTGTTCCTATAACTGACTGACTCCTTTGTTTTTTCAAAAAGATCAGCAATTTCTGAAAAAATGCCTTGATGTTCTGTGCACAATAGCATCTTTCAGAAATGCTAAATGTTGACAGAGGAAGTAGGGTTCCTCCTACTCACGCCAAATCATACAAGCAGGGACAACTCACGTAATCCGTGTAAGACAATGTAATTGCTTTCGCGTACATACTTTACAGAGGTAATTAAAATGC